GAGCGAGTTACAGAAGGAAAGGTGAACGGCGTCAGTGAACTCGGCCTGGTGCCGCTGGACGTGGCCGCTCTTACCCATAATGCACCACTGCTGCAGGTGCTGGTGAAGGCCGGAGCCAAACATAACCCGACCTGTGAGTAACACACACTAACATCAGAGACAGACACACACACACACACACACATGATCAACGTGATGCAGAATAAACCCAGAATTTACTGTATAACAGGGAATGTCAAAGCAAAGTTTGGCTTCTTAATTTTAAGTAGGGCTGTACAACGAATCTTAATAATTACGTTCTAGGAATTCATTTGATTACCACTACTTTTGCTGATAAGTTTTTGTATTAAATCACAACCACATAAACACAGAATCCAGAAAAATTAAAGCAGACAACAGAGAATTTGGAAAGATTTTAGGGGAAAAATAGACTTCATAGGACCGTATTGTATAAAAATATGAATTATGTAATAAATTGTAAATATAATATATAATAAAGTATATATAATGAATTACAGCATATCATAAATGATCAATAATAATAAATTAATAAAAGTTAATGTTTTATGAATTCAATTAATTAGACATACTTTTTGATTTGTGAAAAAACTAATTTAATTTAATAAATGATTTTATAAATTGTGAGTGTAATCAACATTTAATTATTATTAGAATTAATTTCTTTAAATTCAATTGATTATTATATAAATATATATATATATATATATATATAATTATTATAATTATAAATTATTTCATAATTGTAAATGTAATAAATTATAATGAAATGCTTTCATAAATTATAATTAATAATAATTTCTATTACATTTTAATGTTTTAAATAGTTTTAAATGAGTTTTAAATTTAATAAATAAGTTGATTAGACATGTTTTCTGATTATTAAAATAAAATTAAATGTAGTTTGAGAAAAAAAAAATCATAGGACATTACTGTCCTTTGATGGTCAAGTTGTTAAAGTTTTATGAATTTAGTTGATTAGACATTTTGATTATTAAAATGAAGCCATTAAAACAGAATCCAGAAAACACCAATCATGGAATTTGTGAAAAAATCAAATGTAATTTAGTAAAAAAAAAAAAAACTACATCAGATTTCATACTTCAGTTGGTTGATGAAGTATAAATGCCTCTCGCCGTCCCCCCGCAGTGAGCTCGACCTCTGATTGGTCGCTGAAGCTGGACGAGCTGGTGTCATTGGCTGAGCAGAAGCTGGAGGAGTGGAGGGCAGAGCTTCTGCTGAGAGTGAAGGCGGAGCTTCAGTCACAGACAGATGCGCAGAAGAACGTAGATCTGTGGACGCGGCGGTGGGAACTTTACTGTCGCATGAGGGACAGATTTCACACGACCGGTACGAACACACACACAGACACACACACACACAGATGTCATGTGACTCATCACACCGGTCTCCCTCTCTCTTAGCTTCGCCCGGTCCGCCCGCCGGCGCTGTCCTCCTGGTGATGGGCGACAGCTGTCTGTGTGTGCGAGTCACGGAACCCGCCGGTCAGACGCACGGCCTCATCACCCGATACAGAGGTGAGACACCTTCATGCGACCGCCATCATGTGAATGAGGAATGTCGGCACTCACCCGTGTGTGTGTGTGTGTGTGTGTGTAGTTGAGTGGAGCTCTTCATCATGTCTTCATCCTCTGTGTGGCACCGGATTCATCACAGACACCAGAAACCCAGAGTTCAGCATCACGGGACTCCAGACTGTAAGACACAAACAAACTCATCAATATATAATATATATAGATGTGATATTTCTGACTCGTGTGTGTGTGTGTGTGTGTGTGTGTAGGGTGTGCAGTATTACGTGCGGGTCAGTGCGTATAACGTCAGAGGTTGGGGTTTGTTTGTGAGCAGCAGCCCCCCGTGTGTCGCCCCGTCCAGTGAGTAACAAGAACCACAGTAATATCGCTCATTAAAGCAATGTTCAGGGTTATTTTCAGGCTTTTCAAGGAATATTGTTAGGGATTACTATAATTAACTGAAACTAAAACTAGAACCATTGCTTGAAATTAAATAAATATCAACTGAAAGAAAATAAAATACTTAAAAACTTAAGCTTGTTATTTTTCCCAAATAGTTGCCAAAGGAATGTTTCTCATTTTCATTTAGTTTAACTTAATGTTTTAAAATAACTGAAACTGAAAACTGAAACTATAAAAAAAAGACAAAAACACACAAGAAAGTTACAAATGTAACTACATTTAAAAAAGAAAACGGAAAATATGAAATAAGACACTAATATGAAATATGAGCTTAAAGAAACTAATTCAAAATATGAATAAAAACTATAATGGTATCCTTATGTAATTATTATAAAATCATATATAAGAATTATATAATAAATAATTTTTTCTTAGATTCATTTTTATTTTGTGACATTTTTGCCTTTATTATGACAGGACAGATCAAAGCTGACAGGAAGTGAAGTGGGAGAGAGAGGGGGGCGGGATCAGGAAAGGTCCTCGTGTTGGGATTCGAACTCGGGACACCTGTAGCACAAGAGCACTGTATGTCGGTGTGCTTCCCACAAGGCTATTTTATGAAATAAATTGATTCGATGTGCTTTTTGATTATTAAAGTTTTAAACCATTCAATTGGAAATACAGACTATGGAAGAAAAAAATAATAATAACATTTGTGAAAAAGTGAAACCTTTTTATATCAGATATTAACATTGTAATAAAGTACTCAGTTGTTAAGCTTTTATGAATTCAATTAATTTGACATTTTTATATATTAATTTATTTTTTATAAATTAGCACAGATGATCACTTTATGGGTAAGTGTGCAGGAGTGTGAATAAATATTTAATAATAATAATAATAATAATAATAATAAAGTATAATCATCAGTTTATTACAAAAGGTTTAAAATAAATGCTGTTCTTTTGAACTTTCTATTCATCTGTGAATCCTGACAAATAAAATGTAGCACGGTTTCCACAAAACTGTTGGGCAGCACAAATGTTTTCAACACTGATAACAACCAGAAATGTTTCTTGAGCAGCAAATCAGCATATTAGAATGATTTCTGAAGAATCATGTGACACTGAAGCCTGGAGTAATGATGCTGAAAAGTCAGCTTTGATCACAGAAATAAAACAGTTATTTTGAATTGTAATAATATTTCACACTGTATTGTGTGTGTGTGTGTTTAGGCTGGAGCTCATGCTGCGGTGTGACGGTGAGACGCAGGAATCCGGCCGCAGCCGTCAGGAGAATCTCACAGCAGATCAGAGAGCCGGTGCTCAGCGGTACACACACACACACATACATACATGCACGCACACACGCACGCACACACACACATGCGCACTCGCACGCACCCACACACACACACACATACATACATGCACGCACACACACACACACTCGCACGCGCACACACACACACACACATACATACATGCACTCACACACACTCGCACGCGCACACACACACACATGCATGCACACACACTCGCACACACACTCGCACACACACACACACGCACGCACACACACACATGCGCACTCACACACACTCCCACGCGCACACACACACACATGCACGCACACACACTCGCACGCGCACACACACACACATACATACATGCATGGACACACATTTGCACGCGCACACACACACATGCATACATGCACGCACACACACTCGCACGCACACACACACACACTCACATAAATGCACTCACACACACACACTCACTCACTCACTCACTCACTCAAACACACACACACACACACACACACACACACAAACACTCACTCACATACACACACACTCTGAAACACTGAAACACCCATCATGATGGACAAACGTGTGTGTTTCAGAAAGCAGGAGCTCTGTGAAGAGAGTGTCTGTGTCTCGCGGCCTGAAGCAGCTCTTTCACTCCAGCAGGTTCGTTCGTCTCTTACAGAGGTGAGAAACATCAGACTATTAAACTTCACATCTACACAAATCAGAAATGAAATATCACTCAGTTCTTCACTGTAAAATCACTTCAGATCAGCGCTTCTCAACCAGACCACTCCAAATGATTTCAAATCAGCTAAAAATCTAGATATTCATTCAGTCTCTATCCTTGAAGAACCAGGATTCTTACAGTATTGAGAAAAACTGGAAAATATGAAAGGAAGCCTCATTTGTGTGATTTCTAGTGCATTAGTATACTTATTAATCATTTTTAATTTGTTTTGTTTGTTTTATATTTGACTATTTTTAATGTTTAAATTTTACTTAATTTTGTGTTTGTATAGTTTTTAGTACTATTTAGAATTTGGTTTTATTTTCCCCTTTTTTATTTTAATTTTAGTTAACGTATTTGTATTTTTGCTGTGTTTTTATAATTTTTATAAGTTTTTTAAATGTCTATATAGTTTTTATTAATATTTTGAACTTGTGTTTTTTCCCCTTTTCATATTAATTTTAAATGTTCAGTATTTTTGTGATTTGTCTTTTTTACTCGTTTTTTAAGGTCTATATAGCTTTTATGACTATTTAATTAGTTTTAGATTTTTTTAATTAGAAATATATTTTTCATTTGAATTTGAGTTTTTTGCTTCCCTACCTTTACATTTTAATTTTAGTTCGTGTTTTTTTTGTCATTTTTACAATTTTTTTGTTGCCCATATACATTCTCATTTTTTCAGATTTTCAATTTAGTTTTAGTTATTGTAGTACTTAAACTAGTTTTCGTTAATAATAATAACCCTGATATATAGCTAGTTTTATATGTATTTTTTATTTTTATATACTGCTCATCATTTATTGGTTAAAACGAGCAGAAACCCTAAAGAACATTCAGCTATTGAAGTTTTGAATTAAGTTAAGTTTTGAAACAAAGGTTTTGTGTTTTCATGGCTGCAGTAGATGCACTATGAATGTTATGTTAGATATGTGTGTGTGTTGCAGAGGCGTGTACCTGGCGAGTGTCTTCTATCAGAAGGACTGTGTTCTGGTGACGGCTGACGATCAGCTCCCTCTGGTGGAGATCCAGAGCTGCTCCACGTCCGTCACGCAGGACTTCCTGTGGTTCTGTAAGGTCAGGAGTCGATCACACAGCAGTGTTTCTCCTGTCTTCCTCCTCTGTGTCTCCTTACGTGTCTCTCTCTCTCTGTGTGTCTCAGCTGTCGTGTGCGTGGACGCAGGTGCCGCGGCTGCTGCAGGTCCTGTCGTCTTCATCGCTCTCCTCGTCTTCATCGCTGCTGCAGAACAGACTCAGTTTCCTGCGGGCCGTCGCGCAGCTGCAGGTACGAGAGGATCCAGAGACACTCAACCCAAAACAGCCTCAATAATATACTTGTATAGGTTCTATTAGTATTCTCAATGGTTTAATTTTTGTATTTAATTTTAGTTTTAGTATTTTGTTATTTTTATTAGTTTTAAGTTTTTTTAATAATATTTTAAAATACCTTTTATTTTTATATTTTAATTTTTTTTATTTGTAGTTACACTTTTAGTAATTTTGTTGTTTTTGTAAAAATGTATAGTTTTTTATATTTTGAATTAATTATTATTAAATATTAATTAACTTTAATTTTATATTTTAGTAATTTTTGAACATTTTTTTTATTTTTTAAATGTCTATAATTTATACTATACGTTATACTATGTACTGTATACTATATACTAGAATATTTTGAAGTCGTTTTTTTTATTTTTCACTTTTTAGTATGTTTTTCTTATTTTTATTAGTTTCATTTTTGAAAACTGTCTATATAGTTTTCATTAATATTTTGAATGAGATTTAATTTAATTTTAATTTAATTTAAAATTAAAAACTTTTGTGGTCTTATTTTATCCGTTTTAATTTTTAATGTTTATTTTTGTCGTTTTTATTAATATTTTAAATTAACTTTTATTTATACACTTTGTTTTACTTTTTTCACTAGTTATTTATTTGTCTATGAGGCTTTTATTAATATTGTAAATTTGTTTTTATTTTGATATTTTTCAATTTTAGTTAGTTTTAGTAGTTTTGTTTTTTATTTATTTTATTTATTCGTTTTTTTTTCTTTTTAAATGTTTATATAGTTTTTATAAATATTTTATTATAAAATATTTTAACTCATTTTATTTCAGCTACTAGTATTTATAATGCATAAATATAGATTTTATTGAATATTTTATTTTAGTCAATATTTATCTAAGTAACATCAGCGTTTTTAAGGGTTTTAGTTGTAGTTAATGACGGTGTCGGTCTGTAGGCGTCGGTGGGATGTTTGGATCTGGGTCAGGTGTATTTTGAGCCGCTGAAGGACCGGCAGGGGAACGTGCTGCTGGTGACCCTGAGAGAGGTCATGACCCCGCTGACCCTGTCTGACCCCCCGCTGCACTGGCTTCCTGTCAGCAGCCTGGAGAGAAACCAGAACGAGACGCCGCTGCTGCCTGAACCCTCGGCCGTAGAGCTGCTGACACACAGACTCAAGGTGATCAACACACACACATCAACACTAATGATGATAAACAGCCGTCTGTCTGCCACACTAAAGAAGAGTCAACAGTGAGGAGTTCTGGTGCAGCGTCGCCCTCTGCTGTCAGACGTCTGTCACTGATCAAGGGTCACACAGATTAACGTTAAAGCAACACTCCACTATTTTTGAAAATAGGCTCATTTTCCAACTCGCCTAGAGTTAAACAGTTGAGTTTTACCGTTTTTGAATCCCTTCAGCCGATCTCTGGGTCTGGCGGTAGCACTTTTAGCTGTAGCTTAGCATAGATCATTGAATCTGATTAGACCATTAGCATCTCGCTCAAATCGCAAGAAAATCGCAACTTTTCATTTTCCGTCGGTCTTAGTACACGATGTAACTACAGAAGAGTCAGGTTTTAAATAGGAAAAATATAGAAACTCTTTGGTCATTTTTGAGCGAGATGCTAACGGTCTAATCAGATTCAATGATCTATGCTAAGCTACAGCTAAAAGTGCTACCGCCAGACCCGGAGATCGGCTGAAGGGATTCGAAAACAGTAAAACTCTACTGTTTAACTCTAGGGGAGTTGGAAAATGAGCCTATTTTCAAAAATAGTGGAGTGTTCCTTTAAAGAGACAGTTCACCTAAAAATGATCTTTCTGTCATCATTTACTGTATGAGTTTCTTTATTTCTTCTGAGGATCACAAAAAAAATATGTTTTGAAGAGGGTTCGGAACCCAACGACACTGAACCCCATTGACTTTCAAAACAGACTGAGACATTTCTCTAAATATGCTTTTCTACTAAATGACTAAATGATGACAGAATGATCAGTTTTGGGTGATCTGTCTTTTTAAAACAGACATTTCAAGTTTTGGCTTTAGGTTTACAGTAGTAACTCAAAACTAAAATTATAAAAACATGTTTTTACTTGACTAGAATAATCTTTAACTGAAATAAATAAATACACTTTATTTTTAAAATGTTCTCAAAGTGTTAGCACAAAAACATTATTTAGACATTCATGGAACATTTTATTCCTGAAATAGTTTGTTCATCTAATTTTTTTTATTTTTATATTTCTACTTCTACTTGAAAAAATTCAAAAGTAACGTTCCCATAATGTTTAAAAGTGATTAAATGGAATGTTCCATTAACATTCACATAACCAAGAAAAAAACCCCGTTTTAAAACATGTTCAATTGCACAATCACAGAACATTCAGAAACAGTGTTTTCATGATATAATTGGAACGTTAGCGCAGTTTCTCAGAGCATATTTTTGTGAGCTGGTCATCAGAGGATTGATGTTTTATGAATGTGCTATTCTCATGTGTGTGTGTGTGTGTGTGTCAGGAGATGCTGGCGTACCACAGGAGGAGTCAGCAGAGAGCTCAGCCCGGTTTGTATGTGGGTGTCCTGAAGCTCTGCAGCTCTGTGGATCAACTCCGCATCCTGGTCCCGCAGCGATTACCCAACATGCCCTGCCACTGCCGTGTCAGAAACCGGCCACACGTCTCACGGTCAGAATGGAGAACACCTGATCTGATTCATTCACACACACTGACTGATTCACACTGACTCTGTGTGTGTGTGTGTGTGTGTGTGTGTGTGTGTGTGTGTGTGTACGCAGGGAGGAGTGGGCGTGGCTACAGGAGCACGCAGTGGGCGGGGCCTGTGGCAGTCAGGAGGGTGGGGATGACTCTGTGATTGACAGCTCAGGTGTCGAGGACTTTGTGAAGGCGCTGAGATCTGCAGTGACTCAACTGCTGACCAAACTCAATGTCCCGCTGGAACGGGTAACAGCGCGATTCATTCAACACACACATTCACAAAGCTTTGCATTAGCTACAAATTCCCATGAGATGCAGTTAAACTAATAAAATATTTCATATTTCATATTTCAGTTTCATTTTGAATGCTTTCATTTATTGGATTATAAAAGTGTTCCATTTTGTATTTTTGGGTAAGAATAAGAAGCACTTCATCTTAGTGTCTTTCATTCCAATGTAAGAAAACATTTCTGGAATCTGCATCTGAAATACCATTTAGATGTATTTACACAGTTTGTGTATCTCAAAGGGGACATGGATGCATTTAACCTGCATTTAACCTGTAGATGCATAAACAATGTTTTGTTTTTAACATAAAACCTTGAATACTGATATTTGAAATAATTTAAAACATGAACAAAATAGTAGTAATAAAAAAGTATTTTGTTATTGTGGAGTCTTTTATATCCATGTGGATGTTGAAATCCCCCAAGAGAAGGATTATCTCAAATTTGAGGCGGAGAAAAGACAATGTATCTGAAAATTCAGATAAAAAGTCTCCTATTTGTCTTAGGAGGCCTGTAGACTGTAGCCACTGCAGTAGAGAGGGGTGCAGAAACACTCAAAACAAGACATTCAAATGAGTCAAATTTGGGAACAGCCACCGGACACATGTTGTACCGTTGATTGTGCAATCATTGTTGATGATTCAGAAGCTTTGAATCATTTGCAGAGAATGAATGTGTAAGTGTTCAGTAATGTGTGTGTGTGCGCAGGCAAGTGAGTACCGTGTCTACACGCAGGAGCTGCTGCAGGTTGGCGATCGGGTGTCTGTGATTCTCCTGCTGCCGCCCTGTGAGGAGTTCAGATCCCGTCAGCGTCCAGCAGCGGGAGCTCAGCACACCTTCACCGTCCCGATGCACTACTTTGAGCTCGGTCAGTCACTGATCTGCTGCACACACACACATGCACACTGTTTTTACTTTTAGTTTTAGATAAGAAGCTACATTTAAGCCACTATATAACATTACTTTATATTTCAGTTTCTTGCCAAGGCAACATTTTTCACTTAAATTTTCTTTAACTTAGTTTCACTAAAACAACTTTAACTATATAGATACATTTAAAAAAAATAATACCACCCAATAAAATAGTTAAGACTAAAACTAAAATATGAAATTAAAAACAAATTCTATAATTAATATAATATACAAATGACACAAAACAATTACAAAAAATGTTTACTAATATTAAAGCTGAAAATATAAAAAATAATTCAAAGTATTAATGAAAACAATGACAGTATATTAATTTGACTTAAAACAGCCTCAACGATACAAACATTACAAACTAATGCATGAAATAAATAACAACCCATAAAAACATAAAGTGATTAAGAAATTCCCAAACAACCGGCTAAAAGTCAACCTAAATAATAAGTGTTTAGGTAAGATTTAAAAAAAGGTAGTTCATATAGTTTTTACTTCCATAAACTTAGGGGTGTAACGGTACACGTATTTGTACTGAAATTTTTCAGTATGGGTCTGACAGTTCGGTACGCATTGTTTTAACCACTGCAAAAGTGGAACTTCACTGAAAATGTCCTTTTTTTTGTTACTTTTATGTTACTTTTGATAAGAAACAAAGTATTAACTTTCAATTTATGTCATTTTTGGGGAAATTCAAACAATAAATGCGTCTCTTCCTCTTTACTACTGGTTTTAATGCAAAATAAACATGAATGAACATCTCACGCCTCATGTAATCGCTCAATCAGTGTTTCAATCGTGGAAAGACGTCATTAAAACAGCTTGTAAACAAAATGTCGCGTAGCATTAACCTCCGGCAAGTCATCGGTGTCTACATCTTTCTGTTTACTAGAGAAATGAGCAATAGAGCAATGCATATTAAAGCAATGCAAAAAATGAAGTTTTGATATATTTACGGTAGGAAATGTACAAAATATCTTCATGGAACATGATCTTTATTTAATATCCTAATGATTTTGGCATAAAAGAAAAATCTATAATTTTGACCCATACAATGTATTTTTGGCAATTGCTACAAATATACTCCAGCGACTTAATACTGGTTTTGTGCTCCAGGGTCACATATATAATGTGATATAGCTTACAGTTATCTAATGTACAGGTTTTTACATAAGCATTTTACAGTGTTTTTCCATACAGATGATGTGTCATGTTTGTGTTCGATGATTGATGTGTGTGTGTGTGTGTGTGTGTGTTAGTGCACTTGTGGGCGTATGAGCGGGATCTGCTGTCTCAGTACTGTCAGCTGTGGCTCAGACTGGAGCTGGACGTCCGTCTTTCCCAGCAGGCTTTGAGAGAAGCACTGGACACTGAAGAGCTGCAGGAGGCTACGGAGAGACTCGCACACATCACACAGCTGGCACAGGTGAGTGTTTACCTGCTCTCTCTCTCTCTCTCTCTCTCTCTCTCTCTCTCTCTCTCTCTCTCTCTCTCTCTCTCTCTCTCTCTCTCTCTCTCTCTCTCTCTCTCTCTCTCTCTCTCTCTCTCTCTCTCTCTCTCTCTCTCTCTCTCTCTCTCTCTCTCTCTCTCTCTCTCTCTCTCTCTCTCTCTCTCTCTCTCTCTCTCTCTCTCTCTCTCTCTCTCTCTCTCTCTCTCTCTCACACACACACACACACACACTCTCTCATATGCTGTGTTCTCTAGAGTCTGTCTGCGCTTTGGAGCGAGAGCCGCTGGCTGATGGACGTCATTCAGACGCTGCGCTCCAAACACTCGGAGGGGGCGGTGCCTCTGGGGCGAGTCATGACCTCACAACCGCCAATCAGATCAGCCGCCGATGAGGACACGCCCCCTGCTTTACATACGGTAGAACAGATGCAAACAGGTGAGAGAGATGAAGATTAGTTGTTTTGCTCCATTAATAATTAAACATTTTGTTTTGATATTTTTAGGATTTACTTTATTATTTACATTTTTACCATTTGATTAATTTTTAACAAGTTGTTTATTTTGACTTTTAACGACTTATTTTTAATGTAAAAATTTCTTGATTTAGTCCCTTTTTAGTAGAGTGTTTTTATTGTTTTTATTTCAAAATTATTCATTTTAATGTCGTTTTTTAATGATTTATTCATTTTTAGTAAGTGTTTTATTTTGTTTTTATTTTACTTAAATTTCTTAATTTGTTCATTTTTAATAAGTGTTTTTTATTGTTTTTATATTACAATAATTTATTTACTTAATTTAACATTTTTATGATGTCATTAATTTGAGTAGATTATTTTTGTTTTTATTAATAAATGTTATTTTACGCTGAAAGTTTTATTTTGATTTCTTTTTACTAAGTGTTTTATTTTTGTTTATTATTATAACATAGGTGCTTTTCATTGTTTTACTATTTTAAAGAATTCTTTATTTTAATTTGACTTTTTTAGGATTTTATTAAAAATCATTTACTTTCATTAGTCATAAGTTATCGCTATTTTATCAAATCATTTTTTAAACCCTACTATGCACGATGTGTCTTATAAGTTCACATTTATTGCATCAATAGCACCACTTGTCTATATTATCTGCAAATAAAGCCCAAAAGCTTCTTTCTACAGCAAAGAAGACACAAAATGCGTTTAAAAATTTCAATCACAGAAAACGATGACCAGAAAATAATCACCATAATAAAGGTTAAAGGTTAAAAATGAACGTTTCACGCTGATCTGATGTGACCAGACATCAGAAACCAGAAGTGATTTTATTAAATAATGAAGAATCCCAGCTTTACCTGTTCTTTCTGCAGCAGAGGTCATGGGGTCAGAGGTCAGCGCACCTTTGGAGGTCACAGATGGGGTCACGTGTCCGGAGACGCCCACCTCACACTACATCGATGAGCCCCGTTCCCATGGAAACAGCACTCGTCGCCATGGAAACAGCCTCCGGCAGATGCACTCATGTCCTGAACTCAGTGATCCGGCTGCCTCACATCCCATAATGCCTGCGGACGAAGGTCAGGAGCTGCTGACGGAGATGATGGACCTGTTCCAGAGCCTGGATCTGCTGGGAGGCAGTCTGACAGACCTGCAGGAGCTGGACTGGAGCGATCCAGAACCGGATCTGCAGGACCAGGATGACAGGATGGAAGCGACAGACGGTGCCATGACCCAGAGGGGACATCCGGTCAGGAGTCTGGTGGAGTGGGTCAAATCAACGATTTAATCAAACTCAGTCTGGACTAGTGATGGCCGCTTTTGAATAACTGCTTAATGAGGCTTCAAAACCGTTGCGAATCATTTGTTTCGAAACAGTGGTTCGGCGCACGTATCAAACTGCCAAAGTCACGTGATTTCAGTAAACATGGCTTCGTTACGTCATAACTGTTTAGAAACGTTTCGAAACAATCGATCTCCGTAAACTCGTGAATCAAGCGAGTTCATTAAGATCGCCCCCCAGTGCGGAAGCGACAGATGGTGCCATGACCAACAGGGGACATCCGGTCAGGAGTCTGGTGGAGTGGGTCAAATCAACGATTTAATCAAACTCAGTCTGGACTAGTGATGGCCGCTTTTGAATCACTGCTTAATGAGGCTTCAAAACCGTTGCGAATCATTTGTTTCGAAACAGTGGTTCGGAGCACGTATCAAACTGCCAAAGTCACGTGATTTCAGTAAACATGGCTTCGTTACGTCATAACTGTTTAGAAACGTTTCGAAACAATCGATCTCCGTAAACTCGTGAATCAAGCGAGTTCATTAAGATCGCCCCCCAGTGGTGAACCATTGAACCAGCGTCTATAATAATAAATAATTTTATCAATTATTATAAAGACACTTCATATTTAATGGAATTGTATTATTTTGATTTCATTTAATATATAATAGTTTAAAGAAAGCATTTACATTGGGTTCGTAAAAGCTGTTTATTTGCATGCTTTTGTTGCTTTTACACAGCTTTGGCCAGCAGGTGACACCAGCGTGTGGTGTTTCGAGCGTTTCGAAACGAGTGAATCATTTTGCGAAGCAACTGGTTCAATTGACTCGAAGCTTTAATAAGGTTTGTTTCTCCCATCACCATGTCATCTCAAAAATAACAGAAAACTATTATAATATATTATTAAATATATTCAATAATGACGTTATAAATTAAATATATATAGTACATGTTAAACATATTTTATTTATAATACATTGTATCTTTTGTTAGTAAATGTTTTATTGAAATTATTTATTTACCTGGTTTTTATGTTTTTATGATTTCATTCATTTTTAGTGGTTTGTTTAGTTTTTTATGATTTTATTCATTTTGAATAAGCCTTTCATTTGAATTGTTTATATTTTCACATTATATTTAAAAAAAATATTTATTTTAATTTTACGCGTTTAGGATTTTAACATTTTTTTTGTGTTTTTTTTTTTTTTATTTCTAAATTATTTATTTACTTGAATTTTACATTTTTATGGTTTTATTCATTTGAAAGATTTTGGATTTTTTTTTTTCTTTTCTAAATTTACATTCATTTTACATTTAAAATACATTATAAGAAATATTTTAAATGATAATAATAATAATTATTATTATTATTATTATTAACTAAATGAAGTATCTTTATAAATATTTTAAAATATATTGGCTATCAAACATTTGATGTTGGTCTGTTGTTATGCTGGTTATATATATATTCCCTTTTTTGAATATATAAAATAAACCAAATCATCTCTGCAAGAGAATCATTTATCTGTGGAAAAAAAATATATATATTTATTTGTGCAGAAATTATTATAATTTTTTTACAGGTTCATAGAAACCCTGCAGCATCATTCGACTGTAGGCTACTTACTGAACAAATCAATTGTAAAGATAAAGATTTAAGTCTATTTGTATCTTATGTTTTGTTAAATGAATAAACATACATGTTTTAAGTGTTTTCTCTGTGATTATTACCTCATGTTTACCAGAAATTCATTTTATATAATAATTTAGCAGAACACATTAGAAACCAAATGCACTTAAATGATTACAGTATATTCTAAAGTATATATACATTTATATTTACATACAGAGATATTATAAGCATAATATGTTTGTAAAAATGGGTGTTTTTGTGGTGTTTGAAGTATTTCTGGGTGTTTGTGGTGAGTTCCGTGTGTTTGTGTCTTTAAGTCTCAGTCTTGTGGGAATATGGCTGAGGAAAGCGAGTCTTCAGCTGCTGGTGAGTGGAAATAAAAGCACAATACATGTACAGAGTCACAGTCAAATGATCCGAATTGACGGAGTTTATCAGCTCATGTTACAATCATTACTGCAGGACAGTTAAAGGGGCACGGACTTATTTGAATGAAATTCATTTTCATATCACACCGTATTGTTTTATCCTATAAAGAATGACCATAAATGTCTTATCGAGAACTATATGCGCCTGCTTTTATTTTGTCACTTTGTGTGAACATTTTCATTCGGATTCTTATTGATAGAAACGTCTAGAAATGATAGGGATCTAATAAAAAGATTTTGTATTGCAATCCTGTTTATTAATTTACTTTATAGCATTGGACCACATTTCGTGAAGTTTTAAGTCATTTTGTCTATTTTAATTGTATTATTATTTCACTTTTTTCATTAATATTCTGCAGGTGTCCAGATAAAAAACTAAAGCTGATTTGCATGCATAACGAGAAGTTGTAATCAGTTTGCCATAATAAAATAAAACCTAACTGCTTCAAAAAATCTAATTCTAATAGATTTGTAACGAGTTTGTCTAAAAACCCTTATTGCATTCTTATTTCTGTATTTATGTTTTATTTTATTGCATTTTATGTTTTTATTTTATTAGTCTTTTTCTCTGAATGGCTATACATTTCTTAGTAGTTTTTATTGCAGGGCCACAATCCTAGAATATAATTTAACTGCAACAGATCAATTATATTGCATTCCTGTTTAAGTCTTATTTGTTTATTTTCATTTTGTATTTTTATTTATACGTGTTTATTTATTTTATTAGTATATTACTTTGAATTAGTGCTGTCAACTAATTATTTTGGATTAATCACATCCAAGATAAAAAATGTTTTGTTTATACATAATATTTGTGTATACCATGTATTTATTATAAATACACACATGCATTTATATATTTAAGACAAAATATATATTTATATATAATATAAATGATATGAATACAAATATAATTGTATGTGTATATATTTTCAAAATATATACTGTGTGTGTGTATTTATATACACATAATAAATATACAGAGCACACACACACACATTATGTAAACAAAAACTTTTATTTTGGATGCGATTAATCGTGATTAATCATTTGACAGCACTACTTTGAATTAATATAAATTTCATAATGGTACATTTTTAATGCATTTGTATTACTATTAATTACTTTATACATGTAAATCAGGTTTAGTTCTGTTGAGTCCTGTATAATGTTCATGAAAACACTCTTGAATAAAAACGTTTCTATTTGTAAACTGTTTGCCGTAATTAGTGCTGGGCAACAATTCATTGCGATTAATCACATCCAAAATAAAAGTTTTTATATTTTTTATATTTATTATGTGTGTATACATGTATGTGTATGTAAAGACAAATGCATACAGTATATATTTTGAAAATATTTACATATTTAAATATATAGTAAATATATTTATATTCATAAAATGTATATTATATATAAATATATTTAATATGTTAACAACATATTTTTTCTTAAATATATACATGCATGTGTGTGTATTTATATATACATAAATATACACACTGCACACACTATATATATTTTTCAAAAAAAACTTTCATTCTGGATGTGATTAATCGCGATTAATCGTTGCCCATCACTATAGTAATAATATAATCAGGTGTCTGTTGTCTCAGGCGGTTCGGCTGAGGTCCGAATGGCTCTGTTGGGTCAGACGGGTTCAGGCCAGAGTTCATCTGGAAACACGATTCTGGATCGATCCTCGTTTTGTACGGATATGTCGCCCCTATCGGTCACTAGCCGCTGCCAGCGTTCAGGGGGCGTGGCGGATGGGCGGAGCCTGTGGCTGATTGACACCCAGGGGTTCTTCCACACCTGTCTGAGCCCGGATGAGGTGCGCGCGGAGCTGAGCCGGTACGTAGAGCTGAGCGCACCCGGACCGAACGCGTTCCTGCTGGACTGGGTCAGCGCCGCGTACACGTGCGGCGAAACCCGCGGACGTCTTCCTGAAGGAGAGCAAGGAATTATGGGAGTTTGTGCGTGGATGGCTATCACGTGTTTGACAACACTACATAACCAACTAATAATGGAAGCTTGTTTTCACAATGGGATAAAATAAATAAAATAAAATAAGGTAATTGTAACATTTTATCTCGCAATTCGGACTTTTTTTTTGTACCACCATTTTCAATAAAACAGAATTGCGAGTAGGTGCCGATGGCCTTCATGGGCAATGCGCCGACATGTAGTGCCATTGAGCTCTGGCCTGGGCATCCCGAGTTCGAATCCTGGCTCGCAGACCTTTCCCGATCCCATCCCCCTCTCTCTCACCCACTTTGCTTCCTGTCGACCTATACTGTTCTTCAGTGGCGCTAAAACGGGGTATGCAGTGCATAGGGCCCCCACACACAGGGGGGGGGCGCCATTTTGTGAAAATCTTCTTTAATAAAACGTCATAAATAATCAAAAGCTTAGTTATTAAACATAATTAATGCAACATTTTTATTTAACGGGTTTTAGCATTTTAATGAGTTCAAAAATGTATTTCTTAAAAACTTAAGACGCGGAATGGCCGTATCTCTTTGCGACCACAACAAACGGGAGACTTTTCAGACGTGCACTTCAGCTTTCCACTTAGCGCGCGAGTCAAACAAACGCGGAAAAGGTACATGTGCCAAATGAGCTTCAGTAGAACAACAGGGGACTGCGGTCTGATGAGATATTTTTATATGTCAGTAAAAAACGTTCCTGTCCTGTCAGCCGTTTTACTGTGCTCACGGCGCACGCTCTTCAACTGTACGTGAAAATGAGGCGAAATTAATGATAAATAAACCGCACTAGAAACTGTGAGCATACATCGTCAGTTAAGTCACGAAATTACCAAAATGGCGATTAAAGCTGCAAAACTGCATGCATGTATGAGAATTACATTTAAGAACGTCTCTCAAATGCATGCAGCCTACTGAAATATTCTGCAATTCGAGATCACAATAGGGCGCAAGATGATT